AAAGAACGAGCACCTATTACGATTCATCTCCCCTACTGTCACTTACTGTTTACTTAATCCGTCAACTCCCAGCAGTGATTAATATGTAACTTCTCCCTACGACATCCATACATTATCCAGCCAACAGGTAATGAGAATACTCAAACGTATCAGGTAGGAGTTGCTACTTTGATCTAACACCAAATTATCGTAACTAACTTACAAAGAAATGTGTAGCAGTCAGTAGGGAGAATTAACAATCAGATCTTGGGAGTTAAAGAGTTAACATCATAATGACGCTTCTTGGGTGAAAAAAGCAGCCGAAGAAAGCACAGGCTATAAGTACTTCAGCCGGAGATCACTGATTACAGCTGCAAAGGAAACTGCAAGCTGAGAGGAAATGAAACTGCCAAGACGGAGTCCAATTCGATCAAGTATTCCGAACATTTCAAACTTGTCAGATATCTTGAAGGACCTGTTTCTCGAAAATTCTTGTGAATTTTCAGGCCCAAAGCTAAATTTAGGAAATTTAGTGCGGGTTTTTACGAAAAATCCAGTCCCTTCTTTTCACTGCGTGATATCATGATTTTCATTGTTTTTATTTCAAAACTATTAGAATTTGGATCTTGCATGCAAACACAGCACACAAAAGAAAAAAAGAAAAACCTTTTCCGAAGCAACAACCACCGCGACTTTCGAGAAACGGGCACAATATAATGCTTTGTTTTCACCACTGCACTCTATTGCAGAAGAGAGGATGTGATTTACCTGGTCATATGACAAACAACTGATGGAAATCAAACCTGTATCTGTGATTCGATCGAGTGACCCGTGATTATCATCTAAAATAACATGTGAGAGTCATGTTCGTGTATTTATAAATACTGACGGGAAGTTTACTTTGGGAATCTTTCTTTATAGCTGTAACGGAAGGCGACTCAATGTTATTCCTATGTAACGGTTAAAACTGGTGATACGTACGTGATAGAATTTAACATAGTTGCGACCCTACGGTAAGTCAGCCGAATATAATTAAAGAAAAATGCGACATATCAATTTTAATTGTGAAGTATGCAAAATCCCCTTTAATTAATTCTTTTAAAAAATCTCAAGTCGCCTTACAGAGTTAAAATGCGCTCGTACTCGCTGACCTGTCAGAAATATTAAACAAGGAAGTTCAGTTAAAGAATAGGTCACTATGTTTCGTAATCTGAACCCGTATCAGACATAGTGACAGGAACTGAAAGTTGGCAAGCACGATACCTCGAAAGTACCATTGATATGAAACAGCGGGCGTCCGAAGTACCGGAAATAAGATTCAACGTTTCATAACCACCAGTTTATGTTAATAGATTACAATTCTTCGCGCAGGAAAACATGGCAAGTGAATTAGAAAATGTTCAAAAAGCAGACGAGCCACTTAAAAAAGCGTCCTTCAAGGAGCGAAATAAATCCATGGTGAATAACAGCCTCATAAGCGATGTCACGTTCATCGTAAACGATAGCAATGGAGGCAAGGAAATCACCGTTTACGCTCACAAGTACGTTCTCTCTGTGGGCAGTCCTGTGTTTTTCACTATGTTCTACGGCGCTTTAGCGACAGAAGGAGCTCAGGAAATACACCTTCCTGATTGCGATGCCGACAGCTTAAAGGAATTCCTTAGTTTTCTCTACTGTGACGAGGTTCGTATCTGCGAAGACACCGTGATACAGTTGTTGTACCTGGCTAAGAAGTACATGGTGCCTTTACTACACGAAATAGCCAAAAAGAGGCTTCACAGCATGATTAATGCGACAAGTGTATTCGAAATCCTTCCCTCAGTCATTCACCTTGACGAAGGCGACCTCGTTGAACAGTGCTGGAAGGTCATCGATATTGACACGGAGCAAGCGATCATTCAGGACTCCTTCTATGAGCTCGAAAGAGATTTGCTGGAAAAAGTGCTCGAAAGAGACGAGCTAACGATCCGAGAAGCTAACCTATTTGGGAGAGTGTTAGACTGGGCTAAGGTGCGTCAAAATCTACCAGAAAGCGACGGTAAAGAGAGCAACATCCGTGATATTCTTGGAGAGAAAATGATTCGTCTGTTACGCTTCTCAACAATGTCCTTTACCGAATTCACCAGCCTTGTATCGAACTCAGGAGTGCTTAAGGAAAAAGAACTTACTACCATCACACAATTCTACGGAGGGTTCTGCCAAGAGACCCCCAAGGAATTTTGCGAGAGTTTCCCAAGGGGTAAAATTTTCAGATGCAACAGATTTTCGAAAGCGTCTGATCCGGAAGTATTGCCACGGAATAGAAAATGGAGTTATAAGAGAGGATACGAAGACAGCATTAGATTCTCAGTCGAGGCTCCAATCGTTATATGCGGCATTCGTCTGTACGGCTTTGAACGAGCTTCGTATTACGTGGAATTGTCTATTTACCACGCGTCACGCAATATTCATGACCGTGACACACGTAATCTACCAAGTTTCTCTACTGTTGGTATTTTTCAAAGCGACGAAGAAAGGACCAGTGAGTACTACGGATTTGATGTACCCGTTGATCCACCGTTTTACTTGAAACACAATACGGATCTGATAGCGCAAGTTATCATGCAAGGCCCAAAGTCCGATTTTGGTGAAGGAGGCAAGTTGTCTCTCGATTGTGAGGGGGTTAGATTCCATTTTAGCAACGAATGCAGTCGTAACGGCACAACAGCGAAAGTTGGTCAGTTCGCGGAGATAATATTCAAAACTGATCTGTAAAATAAAGAAAGACGTTCTTTGTAATGTCAGGAGAGTGGGAGGAAGTCTATGGCCCGAAAAATTGGACCACAGACCTTCGGATTACACCGATGCTCATCATTCATTCACGTAACGGTTTTGTTATTTTCTTATTTTCGAGGCAAACAAACGCTTGTCACAAGTGAACCTGGTATTGCCCTGACTCATCACAGAGTCTCTTAATCTCAGTGGCAGAGCATGAAAGTGCAAATCCGAAGGTCTGTCATTTTCTTCCCCATGGGGATTCTGATTTATCTTCGTTCCACGCACGTGACAAGATGGGTAACAATTCACGAGCGAGCACAAAACACATAATTTTTTCCTATTCCGGTGTCTCGTTCTTATCTCCCAATAGCTTATAAGTGTTTCGGTTTCCTCTGAAGGTTCGCAAGTTGACTGTGTACCTTTAAAAAATAACTGTTTGGTGCTCTCCATGAGGTCATTAGACTATGAGTTTGCGAGGTTGAGTTGTGATAGATAGCAAGCAGAATATTTATTACGATGTATTTATAATTCACTTAACTAGCATTTTTAACATTAACAAAGTTAAGAAAAACTTATGGGAAATAATTCAATTTGTCCAAACAAACGCCGACAATTCAATCGAGCTTAGAACTTAATGTAATAGTCTTTAAAAAAAAAAAAGATGGGTAACAAATACGTTACAATCATTGCCATCCGGGTTTTAACTGACCCCAAAAGAGGAAAGTGTCTATAAACAACGTGCTCGTTTGAATTTCGGATAATTTTAAAGATACGTTAAGCAACTTTGTGGCCGTGGCTCGCTTGAAAGAGCGAGACACAAGTGGCAAGGACAATTCGCTTTGCTTGACATAGAGAATTGTTTAGAAAATAGCCTTTCCTACGACAGAATTTTGTCGCTAGAACAAGTCGCACAAACTCAAACTGGTTTGAATTTAAAATCACAGAAATAAACTGCGTCGCACAGACTTGCTTTGGATGTGTACACACAAAGCGGGCTGATACGCATAGAGGCTTAAGACAGAAAATAGAATCTTGGTTTGTTCTGGCCTTAATCTTTTACACCCTAACATCATTATGCATATTCTCCATACTGTTCTCTATACATTTCCTAAGGTGCTGACAAGGAGAATTTGTTTAACAATCAAGAGCTTCTTTAGTTGGTGATTATTTCCTTTATTCTTACGACCTTAAATGAATGATTCAGCAGTATTATTGTAAGGAGAAAATAGAAGCTCGTCACTCTTTGGGTTTAAAGGGTAAAAAGTTCCGAAAATACTATTAGGGCGCAAAAAAATCCAATAAAGCACGGGAGGTTCTTTTCTAAGAGACGTCATTGATGCCAGAAATAGTAAAAAGGAAGTGACAGTGTATAGTCATAAGATGGTGAGGATTATAGGAAGTCCTGTATTCTACACAATCTTCCTGACTGCTCTGAAGACAGTTTCGAGAAAGTTTTAAGTTTCATTCTGTCAATTGCTACTTAAGTATTCAGATCAGCATTCGTCTGTTACCAAGTTACAATACAAGAATGAAGATCTCAGTGCGAAGTTCAGGAAGTCAGAAGGAAAATATACGCATAGTTTTGGGTCAAACACAACACTGAAATCACGGCGATGCAACCCCTTCACCCGGCTTAAGAAAATGGCATGGTTTCCCAGATTTTCTCTCTATAAATATAAGACTTGAAAACCCATGCAAGACTGAATCAATGAATATGACCAAGATATCAAACTCGCCCCAATGCAGACCACCGTCAGAGCATGCCCATGATGTGCTGTTTCACGCCAAAGGGAGGGGCACAGAACCGATTTAAGTAAGATCTCACCCTTCCGTCATGAAACGGGGCCGTAAAAAAAAAAAATAAATAAAAAAAAAGAACTCGAGACGTGCGAATACCCCCGACCTAGAGACAGCGTATCGCTTATTAAACAATTAAAAGGTAGAAAAGAACAGCGAGGATTGAAATGTGCCAATCACGGCTGTTCACCGCGTTGCGTCACGCAACCGTCATAAGATGACCCAGTCTCCTGAAAAAAACGCCTAATAAGCAATCGAAATTTCATCTCTTCCATAAGTTAAAGAAGTAACTACATCGTGGGACAAACACTTATAACACGTCATTATTAAGGAGTATTGCACTGTTTGTTTTACCTGTGAAAGATTGAGTCCCGGCTCCACTGCTAAAGGAAAGAGAAACGGAATAGCTTTGGTCGCCAGGTAATCCTTGTCCATACCGAGCTTCTTATGAAGCATGGTTTGCTTGAAAATTCCTGGAAACAGAAACACAAATGCAGTTCAAATGGTAATTCAAAAGATCGAAACATAAATCTAGTGTTATCGCGCGAGACAAACGCAAAAAACAAAATCCTCAAAGGAGGATTTTTTCCAAAGCGAAGTTCCATTCCCATTGAAGTTTTAAGATCAACCTCACCTAAGATGGCCATCAGTGTAGGTGGCTCTCTGGAAGGAATCTGGTTCATTAGCGGCAGTATGTCATCCAGGACAGCGTATTTATCTAAATGTTCCAACATCTTACCCAGGCACACAAGCCCGTTCACCCGAATCTAAAAAAGACAAAATCACGATGATAACGTTGAAAGACATTCGGGATTGAATTAAGTTTGCTTTCCTGCACGTTGTGATAGGTCAAAAGAACGCACGCAAAATTTCTACCAATCAGATGCAAGACTGACGCCTATTGCGACTTGGTCACTCGCATTTTCTTGCGCTTTAGGTCCAGAAAACCCGCGTCAACTTCTCAACCAATCACATACAAGCCTGAAACCAATCACAACTTGGTCACCCGCGTTTTCCCGCGCTTGAGGTCTAAAAAAAAACCCGAGTCACCTTTTCAATCATTCAGGCGCAAGACTGGCACCAATCGTGACTTCGTCACTCGCCTTTTCCCGCACCTGACGCTTGAGAGGCAAGTACAACAACCAACTACAAACTCCATCTTAATTAAACGCCAGATTCGATAATTGAACCCGGGGCTACAGCGACGACTGCGTCATTCCGGCTTCCTAAGTGAGATGACCTTCTCCGATGAGGAATCGAGAGCTGTCAGTTATAATGAAGTTTTCAGTTACCATTCACTTACACTCAAAGAAGAAGTCTTCAAAATGAGATTCTTGATGCGAGGGATGATGGAGTTTTTCATGGCGGAGTAATCAATCATGTTTGAAAATGACGGAATAATGCTTAGAACCATTTCCTAAATCAGATAAAATAAACAAACATTAAAAAAAAGAAAGAAACCAAGAAGTATTCTCTAAGAGATGAAAGCTATCCAGAAATGCCTTTTGATCATTGACAATCCACGCAGTCAATCGGGCGAGCAACTTGAGTGGCCATCTTCCAACAGGTTAAAAAAAAAAAAGTACAAAAGCTTCATGTGTATAAGGCGCATTTCGGTTGAGTGTCAAAAATAATTCAGCACTGCATTGGTTTTGCTTTACTTCGCTCAGTAATTGGTCCAGAAACATCGCGCTACTTTATCAACCAATCATATGCAAAACTAAAACCAATCGCCATTGCGACTAAGCCAATTGCGTTTTCTAGCGCTTCAAGCGTTTTGTACCTGCAGTTGTTCCGCAGGAGTCTCAAGAGCTTTACAGACCATGGGGAGCACGTGATCTCTAACATCGTCCTTGGGTGTTTTTGCTAGGAGTATGTCCATTTTCTTGAGAAATATGATTACAACCTGCAGAGGAGAAAGGAAGAGAATTGATGGGATTAACTTGTAGATGGCATTGGCCGATAAATTTTTTTCGAAAAGGATGATTTTCTTTTGGTCACGAGTCAAAGACAAAGATAAATTTCTGAGTTCAAAAGGAATCGAACCTCAAACCTTCGAATTCCGCGCTTCGAGGATATACCACTGAGCCACAGAAACTCTCTAAGGCGAGCTAGACCATTACTAGATCGATTTTTACTCTCATTACCCGCGTTTACTGAATAATACACTGAAATGGTTCAAAAAAGTAACATGTTTATCAGCAGTGGAAAGAAAAGATCTAACCTGAACAGGTTCCTGTATCTTGAAAACAGGCTTTAACTCAGGGAGGATCAGGTCCACATATTCTTGTGATGTGCAGTCTTCGGCGATCAGTAACACATTAGGCAGAGCAAACGGCACCATCTGATGATTACTAAACTCTGAGCATAACTGTGGCAAAACTCTCTGTATAACAACACGCTGATGGTGGAATACAAAAAAATGGAAATCAAGTACAACCCTCAACTCACAATGTGAACTCCTTTAACCCTCAACACCCTAACATCAGTATGTATATTCTCCCTACTGTTCTCTATACTTTTCTTAAGGTGCTATCAAGGAGAATTTGTTTGACCATGAAGAGCTTCTTTCGTCGGTAAACATTTCCTTTATTCTCGTGGCCTTACTGTGTGATTCAGGGGGTAACATTGTAAGGAGATATTAGATGCTACTCACTACCCCTTTAGGACTTAAAAAAAAAAACATTACACTTATCGAAAATAATTAAGATCAAATTGTGCCTAAGGTGTCCTTAGAACTAGAGGTTTAATTTGTACTTTGCGACAGAAATGATTTCAGCACTTAAGATCAACATTCCAACAACCTTACTTTTGAAGGACTTGAAAAAATTGACATTAATATTCTACAAAACTGAGCAAGTTACTTTACTGAGACAGTTGATTACTTAAAGAGCACAGGGAGGGGATTTGGGTACAGAGCAACCGAGAACAAAACCCGGCCATGAGTGGCTGGGTAGAAGACTCGAACTTGGAACGACCAGAGAACAAGTCCAGCACAGTACTTCCTAAACTTCTGCAGGATTTGAACGTGAGGTGGAATTTGGTGGATTTACCATTAGTCCTAAATATCTAGTGGGCTCTTCAAAATACCGCGATAAAAGAGATAGAGAATTTAGAAAATTATATTTGCAGAAAGGAACTCACCTTTGGTAATTTTGACATGACCTTATAGAGTCCCCTGAAGAACTGTGACTTTGCCATGTCATCACGCTGCACTAAAGAGTCTAAGTACTGTAACGTCATAGCCGCAACATTTTCAAAGAACGAAATCTGACAGGCAACGAAAATAAAATGATTAGAATGCATGTGCGACCCTTTCACTCTTTATATTTCAATAGCAATTCTCCTTACAGACTTCCATACAATTTATAGATGTATAGTTTGGAGAGTTTGGTGTTGGATCAACGTAGAACCTCCTGATTAGTATTTTTGTTATTCTCATCACTTGTCTGCTTGATACTGTATTGATATTGTAAGGAGAAATTCTGTCTTGATCACTCATGGGAGTTTAAGGCTTAGAGCTGAGACTACCTTGCACGTTTTAGATATCCTACTGATCTCACAGTCCGGATTTTTATTAAAAAAAATACAGTTCATATGAATGGCTGGAGTAGGTGCAAATCTAAGTTTTTCTGAAATTATGCTGTATCTTTTTCAGTTGAGAGTGAAAAGCCTTGTTTGTGAGAATTGATAACATAACATACATGAAGCCATAAAGTAAACGGTTTGAATTAAAGAATAACATTGAGTAACATCATTTCTTTACTAACATTGTTTGTTTAACATACCTTAGACATCATGTGAACATCTGGTCTTACTGTGCCAGTAATGCTTAGTAAACTTCTAACATGCTCTTGCAACTCTTTGGGAACAGAACCAAGGGGCGCTGAGCTGTTCCTTGACATCTGGAACAAGGCACGTTTTTACAGAAATGACTTATGTCTCTTACTATTTCTAACTTGTAAAAAGTAATTTTCAAAAAATCTTGTGAAGTTAAGCCTCTTGGTCCAAACAAAAATGGTTCAAAATACCAGGTGTTAGATTCATCCAGGTGTAATTGTGCCAACAACAAAATGCTTGAGTATAAATGGTTCTTAACCCTTTCATTCTCAGGTCAAATTTGTAATTTTCCTTACTGTCAACTATACAATTCTTATATTGTTAGTTCAGAGAATTTAGTATGGGATCAACTAATTTTTTATCCCCAAATTGATATTTTTATTTATTCTCATCACTTATCTGGTTGATATGGTATTGATATTGTAAGGAGAAATTCTGTCTCGACCACTCATGGGAGTTAAAGGGTTAACAGTCTTTATTTGTGGCTTAATTGGCTGTTTCAAATCCAAACTGCCTGATTTCACCTGTCTGGTTACAAACACTTGTAATCAAACAGGCAAAAATTCGACAGTTAAGCGGCCAGTACAATTAAGCACAACAGCCATCAGCCTCCAAATTTCAACAACCAGCACCTGTAGCTACTACTAGCCAAAAACTTCTTAAGTTGGCAGGTTGAGGGGTCCACAAAGAAAACAAACATGCATCAGTAAGAAGCAAATGTCTCTTACATCAAATTTTCCATTCCTGAATTTCTTGCATTTTGTTAATGACACAGTTGAGTAGAAATCAGATTTCCTGACATACAATCTTGTGCTTGTAAGTTTAAATCTGCCTCAGAGTTCAAGTTCTGCCTATTTGAAATCACTCACTAGATAACTCCTCAAGTTTTACCACACTCAGTCCCACTACCATTACATATGAACATGATACAATAACTCCAGTTCACACCTTTGACTATAATACAACCTGTGTTAAAGCTACAGGTGAATTCTGCCTTGGGAATATTGAGATTTCTAAGATTCAGTGCAGAGATACATCATGATGGCAAGGATAATCAAGAGAACTTCCCCTAACCCTTTCACTCTCAAGATCTCATTAGTAATTCTCCTTACTGTCTGCTATATAGTTCTTGTGACATTAGTTTGGAGAATTTGGTATTGGATCAACTAATAATCCCCTATTCAAGATTTTTCTTAATTCACGTCACTTGTCTGCTTGATATTGTGAGGAAAAATTCAAGAAAATGTATAATTGTTTGATTACCATTACAAACCAGGAAATACAGCCTCAGTAACCATGCATTTAACTGCTGGCTCAGAATAACTGGAATGGGACTTACAGCGAAGTGGTGAGAGAATTAAACATTTGAGAGGTTGCTTAACCCTTTAACTCCCAGATCAAATTTGTAATTCTCCTTTCTGTCAGCCATACAATTCTTATGATGTTAGTTCAGAGAATTTAGTATTGGATCAACTAACTATCCTCAAATTGACATTTTTCTTTATTTTCATCGCTTATCTGGTTGATTTTGTATTGATATTGTAAGGAGAAATTCTGTCTTGGTCACTCATGGGAATTAGAGGATTAATTTTAAACACTGTGCAATGAAGACATCTGTAAATGTGAACTAGAAGCTCCCAAAACATTTACAACTTATCCAGTGAGCTAACCATTTCACATGTTATTGCTGTTGGCTTCAAAAGAAGTCTCTATTGACAGGCAAACAGTAGAAACTGTGAACAAGAAGCCACAATGTTCCTTTACCCATGTTTGAACTTAAGGTATGTAGAAAAGTAGTACGTGTGAAAGGCAATCTTCCATTGACATAAATAGGACTGGCTTGAAACAAGTATAAGACTTTGCAACAAACACTTTTTTTTCTGATGAAAACCGTGATTTCCTGAGTAGAATTCACACCTATATTTAAATAAATAAATTAACTGATTACTTACAAAGCTTGTCTCAAACTGTACCTCTTAACAATATCAGCAAGTTTTTCCAGCCATTTTAACCTACCTGCTCAACATTTCTCTTGAAAGCTGCCATATTGTTATCACAGTCAAAGAGAGGCTTCCCTTTGTTGTATATGGAGTAGATAAGAACTCCCAGCGAGAACATATCACTTGACAGGTCACAAGATCTGGACAATATGTACTCTGGTGCAGCGTAATTCAGATCAGGTTGAGCCCATGGCCAAAGATGTCCCTCCCACTGACCAGCATTGTAAGTGGACTAACAAGCAAAACAGAGAGATTGAATGTTACTTCTCCACACTCTGCACAATACATTTGTGATAATTCCATACATGAGAATTTATTCTTTAATCAAATGATGCACTCCTATTGATCTTTTCTCTCTTCTTATTACCTTTCTGCTTAAAAATGTATCAAGATTGAAAGGAGAAATTCATTTTTGGTCATCCTTGGGAGTAAAAGGGTTAAACGCGTCATGTTGATAGGAAACACTGGCAAGTTTTTTTGCTGAGATTGTGTTTTTAGTTAATTATACCTGTTAGGGGAAACTTACTCCACAAAGTATTAATTAAACAAAAAATCACAGATACTTGGTTTTAAAGCACATGTACAGTTAACCCTTTAACTCCCAAGATCTGATTGTTAATTCTCCCATCTGGCTGCTACACATTTCCTCATAAATTAGTTATGAGAATTTGGAGTAAGATCCAGATAACAACTTCTAACTTATAAGTTTGAGTATTCTCATTACCTGCTTGCTGGATAATGTTGGATATTATAGGGAGAAGTTGTATGTTTATCACTTCCAGGAGTTAGAAGATTAAGAGACCTTGAATCCACTTACCATTTGACAAAGAGAATAAGATTTGATGTCCAACCACACTTGTCATAATTAGTACATAAATAGGCCATTTCCAAATTACCTTTGGCCTTGTTTATAAAGCAAGTCCTGGTGCTCATCTTTTCATAGATTATATAAGTTTTATTCACATTCAAATTAAATTCATGTTTATATGAATGGTTGAGCACCAGGCCTCATTTTGAAAAGGAGGCCAAAGGGAGTTCAGAAATGACCTATTTGAGCTTCTTTTCATGATAAATTTTGCAAGGAACAGAGTTGACACAGTTAAGGTTACTTCCCACCTTCAGAGGTCGAAAAAATAGATTTTTCTTTTATTTGACTAAACTGAATTCAAACATTCAACCTAACATTTCCATAAAAAATTCTAAAACCTTTAAAAGCACCTGAGTTGTTCAGAAAAATGTATTTTCAAATAAAAGTTTGGAAGGTGTCATAATCTTGGAGGAAGTTTCACAGCAACTGTTCATAATGGGGCTTGTTTTTCATGGTACTTTCATATTTTGTTTACATCATGCACTTAACAAAATTCACACATGGTAGCTTTTAACTTATAGAAAGATTTTTGCTCATAGAAAAATCAAAAGTGGAAGAAACTCCTTGGTAAAAAAAAAAATAAAATTAAAAAAAAAAAAAAAATTAACAGGCCTGAAAAAGAAAGGAAGAGTACCATTCTGTCAAGGAAAAAAAAAATTCCTTTGTGAAAGCCACTAGTACTGGTGGAGGTTCATGCTGACATCCAGATTTCGAACAAAGAAGTCACTGTCAAACCAAAATTTGCTATACATAATGTTAAAAATAAGTTTTCCTTTTCTTTATGCAAGTACCAGCCCTGATACAAATACATTTACAATTGCCTCAGATCATTTCAAATTCAAATCTTTCAATTTGTTGCTTTGCTCCTCAGCACATTTTGCGGTTTTTCCATTTTTGACACAGGTTTTGCCTTTGGCTTTGGCAACTTTGCTCAATATTGTGTCGTCCTCTTTACGTGTCTGCAATGGGTTACTTTTCCCAAGAAATCTTGACCCATTGTCATTGACGTCAGGAAATCTTGATCCATTGTCATTGATACCAGGAGGTCCCATTGTCCCATTGATTTGCGGTTTCAGGAGGTGAGTAATCTCCTGGTGGGGTGTGAGTTGTGTGCCAACCTTTATGAGCTAAAATCTCGGATTTGATTTTTAGAGGAATACAACCACTTTGAGCGAGTTTATAGGGCATATAGATTTGACCGATTTTTGTCCAATTTTGCCTAAACATTCCAGGAATAATGACAAACGAAAGTGTGTTGGGAAATTTTGATACTTGAAACATTTGTCCCGTGGTGTCCATTTACCCAAGACGCCTTGCACATATTTAGCTACTCCAATTTTAGATGTCGATATCTAGACAACCAATCAGAATATCAAAAAAGGCTGAAACCCTTTCATTGATTGATGCCTTATGGAAAGGACTATGCAGCTATTTATCTCATGCTGTGGCATTCAATATCAGATAAATTCAATAGAAGAACCTTTGGTCATTTCATGGCTTACGCCTCCTGACACTTCCTTCAAAGAAAAGTCGCTTAAATTATATTTTTATCATAATCTGCTACTACTAAGCTTTCATCAGATGTATAGTTTGATAGGATTTTATTATGCTAGGATTTTAGTGCAACATGCTTTGCATATTTTTAGCCATTTATCTCATGCTGCCGCATACAATACCCAATAAATTCAATAGAAGAACCTTTAGTTATTTCACCACTTATGGCTCCTGATACTTCCTTAAAAGAAACTTTGCTTAAATTATATTTTCATCATAATCTGCAGCTACTGAGCTTTCTTCTAATGTATAGTTTACTAGGATTTTAGTGCAACACGCCTTGCATATTTTTTTAGCTACTCCAATTTTAAATGTTGATATCTAGACAACCAATCAGAATATCAAAAAAGCCTAAACCACTTTCGTTGATTGATGCCTTATGAATAAGACTGTGCAGCCATTTATCTTGTGCTGTGGCATACAATACCCGATAAATTCAATAGAAGAACCTTTAGTCATTTCACCACTTATGGCTCCTGACAATTCCTTAAAAGAAAAGTTGCTTAAGTTATATTTTTATTATAATCTGCAGCTATTGAGCTTTCTACTAATGTATAGTTTGCAAGGATTTTAGTGCAACACGCCTTGCAGATTTTTTTAGCTACTCCAATTTTAAATGCTGATATCTAAACAACCAATCAGAATATCAAAAAGCATGAACACTTCCGTTGATTGATGCCTTATGAATAAGACTGTGTGGCTATTTATCTCGTGCTGCGGAATCCAATACCAGATAAATTCAATAGAAGAACCTTTGGTCATTTCGCAGCTTATGGCTTCTGACATTTCCTTAGCAGGAAAGTCACTTAAATTTTATTTCTGTTGTAATCTGCAGCTATAGCGCTTTCTTCTGATGTATAGTGCTAGGATTTTAGTGAAACTGGTACACATATGAATTTTTTTCCCAACGGACACCCACGAAGGTGGGAAGTAACCTTAAGTTGGATACAGTCAGTCTAACAATGGGAGAAAAAAATTATCTTTCTTTGATTAACTTGTTTTTGTTACAAGAGCATTCTCATGAAAACTCATCTGATGGTGAAATAGTTTGCCAAAACAGAAGAAACATACACAGTATTGCTCAAAAGTAAGGTGACAGTCTGACAGTATAAGTTTTCAAGAAACAAGGATTGAGTATCAAGGTGGAAGATTGAGTTTCAAGAGACAGTCAACTAACTTTTGAGTGGCACTGTCTCTTAAAATTCTAAATTCTTTCCCCAGTTATGTTCAATAGTGTTAACTAAATGTTGTAAACTTTAGGTTTTCCTGAAGTTGACGACAAAAGAAGAGTCACACAGTCATGTACTGTACCTGGCCATCAATCACAACTGGTGTAGAACTAAAAAAAAGTCCAGCTATTTTCCATTGTCCATTCTTGGTAACACATATCAATTCAGGTGCAAGACTTGCTTGTAGAATTTTAGCATCATTATGAAGGAAAGTTAATCCTTCCACAAGCTGATACAAAAAAAACAACAGACCTCAGAATTAAGATACAAAAAGTTTCACACTATCAACAATTTCTGCGTGCCCATTGTGGGTAAACAGAAATTTTGCAGCAACTGAAATGTTTCTACAGCTAAAAACAGATTACATAATTCTTCATCTGTATTAACTACCAACATGTCCCCCTCTTTACTTGATATCATCATATCAAAATCAAATGTGTGCTCGTAAAAAGCATCATTTACATCTACAGTGTATCACATATTTCATAATAATTGTATAACAGTCTATTAGGATTCTCAAGATTGCTTTAAAGTAATTGTACTATAGGAATTAAAAATGCATCAGGAATTTATACAACAATCTAAATTTTTTGGAAAAGACAAACCTGAAACAATCCATAAACTCTTTCCACATCATAAAGTTCAAACATCTGTTGGTAGAAAACATAATCTTAATTAACCCTTCAACTCCCATGAGTGACCGAGACAGAAATCTCCTTACAATATCAATACAACGTCAAGCAGAAAATTGATAAGAATAAAGAAAATATCAGTTAAGGGATCATAACTTGATCCAACACCAAATTCTCCAAACTAACATTGCAAGAACTGTAAGGCAGACAGTTAGGAGAATTACTAATGAGATCTTGGGAGTTGAAGGGTTAATTGGACATTGCGTGGGTACATTGAATGAGCTTAAATTATGGAGACTGTAATGCAATTACATTTACTGTTAGTTACATCCTGTCTGGTAGCCTCACAGGATGAAACTAAATACCCTGTTGACAAGAATATGATTCCTTGTATTTAATAAGCTAAATATATCCACAACACTGTAAAGAGAGAAACGCCAGGAAAAAAATTAAAAGATCTACCTTAAAATCATGTGGAAGGGGCGATGGCATGTTATCATGTTTTCCAAGTAAATTTGCCAGACTTGCAAAGATTGGTTCAGTTGCAAAGGCTAAGCAATCCCTAGTAAAAAGGAATCAGGCAAAATTTACAACACCAATGAGTGCATTGTATGCTTGTTCATGAATATATTCATCTCAGAATCCTTCAGCATTCTTAATGCATTATGCATCTGTAAAATCATAACAAATTGCACAATTATGTAAGAGACATTGACCAACAGATTCAACTGCAGTTTCCCACATCATAAATTACGTAAAATGGTCTAGGACTTTCTCATGTAACAGCAAAATGGGTCAGTGGATAACTCTATTTATGTCTTCCATCTATTGGCTTGTCTAAATTTAAAGCCCCTTTATGTTCTCATTGACTGTAAGGAGTCAGATACCAACAAAGACATGCTTCTCTGTCTTGACTGGACCTAAAATTGACAAATTTCCTAGTCCTCTTAAAGTTCTGAAGTGGCAAAAAATGGTTACCAAAAATATGTTTCTAGTTACCAATTTCAAAGCTGTGTCTGTATGTACCATTAAGTACCACAAATTTGGCTTTGCTAAAATCCTGAATAACACTTGAAGTAACTAATTGAAATTCTGTGCTATCTTAGAAAGGAAGAACAGTGATCGCCTAGAGGTACGCAGAATGTGTGTCTAAAGAAGGTATTGGTTGATATCAAAAGACTTTGTCTATACAACTTCTGCTTTTTTTCTCAAAGGCAGAGGTAAAACTAGACAATATGAGGCATGTAATTTTGCACTCAACATGATAACTTAAAAAAAAATATATAGAAGGTGGCAACGCGACCAGAACTTTTAGTCGCCAATAAGAAAATGTTGGATACAATGGCTCCTGTATGAGTCCCAATCACAAACCCTCCTTGAAATGAGGGACTTCTTTCTGGAGCTTCTACGAACTACAATTCATAGCCATTGACATGTAACAGATACATCTGTAGATGAATTTTTAATTCACAATGGCATGGGAAAAAAAATGCACAACATACATGGTTAAGTGTCAAGAGTTGTGTGGTTTATTCCTACCAGAGCTAATCACTCAATCTATAACTGTCATGGAGAACTGCTTCTACTCCTGAATAGTATTTTAACTTAATGCTGCAAATTGTCAAGTAATAAGTCAAGTTTCCCAGACATTAAGAGTCCTGCTAGGAGGGAGGCAAAATGAGATGATTTTGCCAAGAACAAAAAATAGTGAAGTGAAAGGTACACAAGGCCATGTTATTTTACATCTCCTAGTTTTAATGTAATTGTGAACTAGAAGCTAACAGGACATGTCATAGTAATCCAATGAGCTAACCATTTCACATTTCATTTGTGTTGCTTCTTTTGTTAAATACAGTCTCTAACAACAGACAGATTATTAACTGCAAACAGAAGCCTTTTAAATATATTCAAATCTCATTTGAAACACAGAGAAAAATACAAGACCCAAGCTTTAATATTTATTTATTTCATATTTATTTATCTATTGGGAATATCTACATGTAACCAGGCTGGAATGGCCAAGATCAGCTGGAAGCTGTTTGAATGTAGGCCTTCAGATTTTTCAAGTAATGCTATATTCAATTTGCCAATTAAAAATCATCTTGAGTAATAATTCTGATACCAATGTTATTAAAATATACATCAGGTATTTTCATATTTTTTGTATGCAAGCGCTACTTACTTGGACTCTTCCAAAGGATGCTGAACAACCAACAGCCGTGGATGTCGCAATCTTGTAAGTTGTACTGGTCCTTTCTTCATTGTCTCCATTACAAAGTCCCTGTCTCTTTTATCAACTTTATCCAGCAGCCTTTTCTCAAAAACAACCAGAGAAACCTCCTGATGATAAAATCAAACAAACAAAAAAGAACTACTTTTTATATATCGTTTTTAAAAAAATTTCAGGATTTTATAACCTTTTCATCAAGTGATCAGTAGTCTATGCACATGTAGTCAAGGGCTTAGATGTCATTTCAATCTAGACAGTAAATTGTATGAAGATGTTAGTGCATTGTGTCAGAGTTGGTAGAGGAGACTGTTTTTGTGATTAACGAGAGCAAGTGAAATTTTAAAAGTCTTTGATCCTGCATAGCAGGCCTGCTGCATGGGCAAGTCTAATTTAAAAACAGTACTAAAATTCATGGGTGACCACAAGTCATCACATGCACAGGAACTACAAGCCATGTTTTGTGTCTTTCATTCTCTACAAAATCAATCTCTAGAACCCCCTTATACATTCTGATTGCATGTTATGTCTAACACTTTGCAACTGCTTTGAAATATGTAAAGCATATTTCTTTGAATTTGACAATTTATGATAATCATGAGACTTATTCCAAGGTTCCTTTAGCAGTTTATTTTTTCAAATATCTCAGAAGTTAGATATGTGTGATGAAATTTAAAAATTTAGAGAAAGTGCAGCATGGAAATGCCACTCAATACTGGCCAATCAGGAACTGCATACTTGGCTAACTCGGTATCAAAGATTCTTAAAAGGTAATAGGTTACATACGTTGACATATTCTCAATAAAATTATTTTCTACTCCTTCTTTGTTCCCTCTAATTGCATATTTCTCTACACACTTTTCAACAGTCCCAGAAATATTGATACTACAGGTTTCTCTGAAATTGATCAATTATGATAACCATGAGAGTTATTTCAAGGTTTCTATTGCAGTTTACTTTTGGGAATATTTCAGAAGTTGGATGTGTCTCATGAATTTTAAAAATTTTGAGAAAGTGCAGTACGGAAATACCGTATAACACCCCATAACATATTTATTCTCTCATCACTAGCCAATTAGGAACTCTTTAAATGGTTCACTGTATAATAAGATTCTAAAATGGTAAAAGGTTACATATTTGACATGAAAGGTGACACAATGAAGGTGTCCATAACTGGGGATGGAGTTGATAATTGAGTGATCTCAAGATTGTGCTAGATAAATTGCAAATTTAGAAAGCTTTTTCAGTTGCATATGTCATTAGTTGTGCATAGAAAAGAACACTGAAGTCATTCTAACCCTAACCCTGTCAAACCATGGTGGTAAAAAGTGCCAAGAACTTGATTAATTGCTAACAAAATGACTCAAAGGTCAAAAGGATTTCCTTCCTTCTGTCAGCCTCAGAAGCTCAAAAATACACAAAATTAAGGGTTTTAATAATGGCTGATTGTTGGCCATCTTCCATCACGTACAAAACCAAAAGACACCTCTACCTTTTGTCTACTAATATGAATAATTAAAATATTTGTCTTAGTTAAGCTTTTTTTTTTTAATCACACCAGTTTGTGGTTATACCATTGACAGCCTCTTAAAACTTTCGGAATGTCTTAAGTGTAAATCTGCCCATGCTCTTTAATCCTTTAACTCCCAGATCAAATTTGTAATTCTCTTTACTGTCAACCATACAATTCTCATAATGTTAGTTCAGAGAATTTAGTATTGGATCAACTAATCATTTCCGAATTGATATTTTTCTTTATTCTCATCATTTATCTGGTCAATATTGTATTGATATTGTAAGGAGAAATTCTGTCTTGGTCACTCATGGGAGTTAAAGGGTTGATAGGGATAAAAGAAATCACAAAAAATTTGCTGTGCACCTTACATGTAGGTTTATGGCTCCGATTAGTACCAATCCAGTTTCCGAGAGGCACCTTGCCAAAGCCTAATAATTTTGATTTTTTTTTCCAGTTTCATTTCCTGCCATTTCTTCCATAAAAATTGTCCTCTGAGGGTCAATCTGTTATTCATATTTTTTTATAAATTGATTAACACTACAACTAATACTCTCGTGTTAAACCATTCACTTTGCAGAGACACTTAATTTTTTTTTACTCATAATATCAAATTTCCGTAAAAATAAGGGTTGCAGAAATCATAATCAATAACGTAAGTGCATTCAGTAAAATGTGCAGATAGGATTACAATGTGTTTACAGGCACAGAACCAAGACACTTAAAAAAGTTAAAGCCAACTTATGGTTAAAATACCAAGTCATGAAAAGTGCTATTATTTATTGATGTTCACTTAACGCACCAGAAGCATTCAAGTTGAATGAGATCTACAGTATTGACGGGTGTAACTAGTTAATCCAAATTAAATTCGTCTCAATAAAATTCATTGAACTACAGAGCCATAAGGAACATAATTTCTTACGATAACGTTAAGAATAAGAGGTCTCAAGTACTAACTTGGCCAGTTGTCTTCTTTTTTCCCTCGTAAATTTTCCACGCCAAATTCGGTCCGAAGCTTGCCACATGTTTGCCAACATCAAAGTCTTTGGTTAAGGGATTTCCTATCAATGAACCCACAGCGCCAACTGCATTGACAGTGGCCGAAACAGCTGTGACAGTGGCATTCTTTGCCACAGTTTTAATGCGATCAAATACCGCAGCTGAATAAGAGCTGACTTTGTTTAGATCCATGTTAATTCGTTGCGAAAAATTGGGAATATCCGAAAAAGTGTCAATTTGATGGGAGTTGAAACATGTCTGAGGATCGGTACTGACGCATTTTGGGGGATAGACGCGTAGTTATAAGGACGTAGTTAATGCTAATATCTTCGGCGAAAAATCTCCCTTCGATTTGAAATCAACCCGGATCAGGAACTCCTATGAATAAAAATATTTCCGCAAATCCAAGACAACGAATGAGTAGCCATCTTTGATTTTAACCAGTAAGTGCGCATGTCCAAGCCACCTTGTCCCCAATCGTCCCCAGGAATGACACGGTCGACTGCACATTTGATATGGCGACTGAATCGAATTGGACCGGCTTTGTATTTCAAATTTGTTTTGTTTTGTCGCATTACCCACACAAAAGCGGGCGGTTTGCTTACAACTAATTACCGCCGTACTCCATTCAAAGCAATTGAGCGGATAATTTCGGCAGAAAAAAGAGTCATTGTTCTGCGCAGTGACCTTTAGAAATCTGGCTATGACTCCATCTCGAGGGTATAATTTTTCTCTCACTGGATCTTGTACTGTATCATGTGTTCTTCTGCATCCATCATTATTGCTCACTTAAACCCAAGAGCTTGTTTATGGCGAATATTAAGGTATTTGCACGTTTGAAGCCGTGTCAGAATATAAATCAGGAACTCATCCGCTATGAAGATGAAGCGATTTGTATTCAGTCGCGTCGAGAAGTTACTTCGCACTCCATTAGTTCTGGATCCTCTAATCTACCGGAATCGATCAGATTTCGGTTTGCACACGTTTTCGGAACGGATTCGTCGCAAAATAATGTGTTCGACGTGGCCGCAAAGGATATAGTCAAAGGATTTATGGAAGGCTACAATGGAACAATATTTGCTTACGGACAAACAGGAGCTGGGAAAACTTATACTATTCAAGGGGAAATTGAGAGTGTCACCTCGTTAGTATTTTGTTTTTTTGTCTTGTAGCTGTATTTTCCAAGCCTACAAAAGGACAAAAACCTGAAAATAGCTATAGTTTGGTTATAACTCTTAAGGGCTACTCTTGTTTTGCTAGTATAATTTATTTTTATCATACCCTTGATGTTTAATACGTTTTTTTAGATGGCATTGGCGAAAAACAAACGGGAAGAAAAACAAGTCTTCTCAAGTTACTTGACTGACAATATTTCACCTAACCTTAATGACGACGTGTGAATTATCTCAAAGATGGTTGACTGTGTATTTTTCAACATTGTATGTAAAATGTTACGACTTTTTAACTGAAAACTAGACAGCTAAATTTTATCAGTCATTTAAGCTAGCAATCTGGTATCCTGAGAAGTATCTCTCGGATTTAAATTAACACGTGAGGAAACCCACGCACAGGATTATCAAAAATATTGCAACAATTTGAACTTGCACGTGAGGTTATTCATGACCAATATCACCGGAAAGTTGGCAAGAATTTGCACGTTCTTAAGTGGATTCGCGATCTGATATATTATACATTCGAAGTGATCTTTTAAAAGCTGTAGCCATTTCTCTATAGAAGTTTGCTTTCATGGTCCACTGACAGATGGCAATTTGTTCCCATATCTAATTCTAGTTCTGACTTAATTAATACCGGATACGATTTTTTTTCTTGCAAAGTGACCTTGATGTGGCTGTTACATATATTTTAAAGTGGCTCCCGCAATGTCCATGGTTCCAAATGCATCCTTTGATAATGATGAAGTTTGGCTTGTTTTGCTGACATTTTCCAGCAAGAAAGCTATTTATCTCATTCTTGGTTCTTCTAATTCTCATCTTAAAATCTGAAACTATTTATAGGGTTGGCATTATGTAATGACATCAGTCTTAAGAATCACATGTTGTAGTTGTAGAAATAATGGCGAACATGAGGAGAAGTAGGGGACAGGAAATTAGCTTTCAAGATGAACAAGTTAGACCATATTTGGAAGAGGGTAGACATGCCATAAATAGATTTTAAAATTCTTTAATAGGCAGTGGCACATTTTTGTGCATGGAAATTTCAACATGTCGAATCTTCCTGTGAAAAGCAATTTTGTTTAAAATGGTCAAAAGTTGTAGAAACTTGGAGGGGGGAAGCAGTGAGATCACAGAATTTTATGGACAAGGGAGCTAAGTCTTGATTCAGATTATGTAGAGTCTTATAGCTGGGGCAATAGTATTTTTAATTGCTACAGAGCCCAGTGAGGTAAGGATGATCTAAATCATTAGAGTTGCAAAGCTGTAGCCATGATAGAGGAATAATTTCTGCTTCTTTTAATTTTGTGCCGTTGCACTACCTCCTTGTGGTTCATACATCTGTAGCTTTTTTTATGGAAACATATTATTCAGTGAGACGGCAGAACTAGCTGGGAGGATCAAGGAATGGGAGGGGGGTCGAGAAATTGGGATTCTATCTCTATTCATTTGTATTTAGAGTAGAGTAGAGCACTAATTTCTGCTTCTTTTAGCTTTATGCCATCACCCAACCTCTTTGTAGTTCATTTCTGTAGCTTTTTGTCACTGAAACAGATTATGCAGGGAGACCGCAGAACTAGCTAGGAGGATCAAGGAGTTGGGGGGGTGGGGTGTGTCAAGAAATTGGAATTTCATTTGTATTCTAGATGTATGTGTTCTTATTGTTTGTAATTCCTGTTTATCATAAAATTGAAAAAATCATGGTCAGCCCTAGATGACTATACAATGAATGGATAACATATAAAAAATGAAGAATAGATATGAATTTCTACTGGTAAACTTGAAAAATCTTGTCTAAAATTCTCTCGCTGCTTATATAGATTTGTGACCTTCCAGTATCTTCTTCATTCTTGACCCTCAGGACCTTAATTTTGTTGTTTTTAAATACTTGCATTAGTTAATATTGCGTGAAAATTTGAGACTCTTTTGTCTATGACAGTTGCTTTTTTTTCCATAAGTATCAGTACAAGTGTTGAGCATCTATATACACATAATGGCATAGTTTGATATTTGACCATTCATTCTTAGATCCAACAACAATGGAATCATTTTGCAAAGTCTGTCCATGATTTTTGACCACATTAGTCAAGTTGAGCATGAAACAATCAGTATTCATGTTTCATTCATGGAAATCTACAAAGAGATGGCATTTGATTTGCTGGGATTTATCCAGGGTAAAGATACAGGGAAAGCCAAGCAGGTGAGGTAGATTGTTTTAACCCTTTATTGTATGTGGGAAAAATTACTGAATGCTGTTTGGCCGAGACAGAGTGCATTTTTTCTTAATCACGAGGGCACTTTTGGTACTGAAGAGGGCACAATCACTTGATGACGATTGAGTGTTTTTGCTGTTTGCAGTAACAAATTTAGTGATTGCAGTTTAACTGAGTGAAGTTGTTGACTATATTTCAGGAATAAAATGTTCATTGGATCTATTGGTCAGTTACATTTATGACAACGTTTGTGACGACATTGAAAGGGTATCATGGTATGACATCATGCGGGAATGCAATTCCCCCAAAAAATTTGCCCTTTTTGTGATAAACAAGTAATCGCAAGAGCCCTTTGGGCAATTAAGGATTAATTTCATATGTATTTTCAAAGTTTTACAAAAACTGTGAAAATATGCATAAAATCAATCCATAATTGCCCTCAGGCCTGTGCGATTGCATAACTAACTCCCACGATCTGATTGTTAATTCTCCCCTCTTGCTGCAACACATTTCCTTGTAAATTAGTGACGAGAATTTGGTGTTGGATCAACATAACAAATTCTAACTAATAAGATTTAGTATTCTCATTACCTGTTCGTTGAATAATATCTGAATATGGAAGAAGTTATATGTTGATCACTTCTGGGAGGGAAAGGATTAATATACTTTGAATCATTGTTTGACTCTACTCACTTTGATCCATGTTCATGGTTACTCTAACAGGTTCTGGTTACAATGGCTGGGGACGGTGTCTGCCATCTTCATGGAATTTCTCATCATCATGTACAATCATTCGATGAAGCCGCAGGGTTATATCAGTTGGGCATGGCATGCTGCAAAACTGCTGAAACACCTGACAATAAAAGATCGTCCAGATCACATACTGTGTTTAGCATTAAAATGCTCCGTCAAAGGCCTGGTGAAGAGATATTTTTGAGGTGTGTAAAATGATATGACCAAAACAGTCTGAACATGTGTCTTTTGACCTCACTATGGATTTCTTGAAGTACAAGAATTTACCCAAAATTTTGCACAGATAGAAATTTTTACTTAAAAGAGAGTGACTTGAGCTGAAGCAAACTTTTCACCCCTTTCATACTCAGTGTCTAAATATCATTGCTTGGCATTGTTTTTTATACATTTTTTTATGATTGTGCATCTGAGAATTTGGTGTGAAATCTAACATTACTCCATTGTTGATATATTTCTTTCCTGTCACCTTTCTGTGTCAAAATATACTGGCACTATATGGGGAAATTCATTTTTGGTCTAATAATTTATTCCTGTAGCCATGGTACTGATTCCATGATTTATTATTTATATCACTGGACTTATTACTGTGTGTAATAATCTGTTCTTGTAGCAAAGGCTCCCAGATATATTTATATTGTAGGACTTATTACGTAATAATGATCTGTTTCTGTAGCTAAGGGCCCTCAAGTGTTAGCAGCATCGCCAAAGGTGTTGCAAAATCCTGATTATCTGTTCTTGTAGTGAAAGGTTCTCAGATATTTATACATCACTGGACTTGCTACTTAATAATAATCTGTTCTGTAGTAAAGTGCCCCCAAATATTATCAGCATCACCAAAGGTATTGCAAAATCACAATTATCTGTTCTTGTAGTGAAGGGCTTTCAGACATGTATACATTACTGGAACTATTGCATAAATATAACAATCTTTTCTTGTGGCATGGGCTCCCAGATATATCTATTGTGTAGTAATCGTCTTAATCTTCTAACTCCCAGCTTTTGATTACATCACTTGAGCTATTGCGTAAGAATTATCTTACCCTTTATGGAAGAATTTTAGTAGGATGCACAGAGTTTTTATTTAGATAGGGAAAACAGTTACAAATAACAGTAGGATATCGTTCACATCAGAACAAATGTAAGCCCCAGTTATTGAAATTTAGTTGGAGCATTCCATCACGTATATTTGTGTGAGGCAAAGGATCTTTTCACCTTTTATGCCAAGAGAACAATTTCAGTTGCATGAATAGGATGATTGACAGTGGCATCCACCCTTTTGGGGTCAAATAATCCTATTAAAAATTCCCAGTAACTTTCACTTGCTAAAAGTTGGTGAAGATGAGGTGAGATAAGATTTGGTTTCAATTTAACATGTGGTTGCACTTTGGATTTTTGAGGTTGATAGATTACATTCAACTTGATGAAAGAACTTTAGTCACACTCTTAGAAAAATGTCACTAATGGATTATGAGACCTTTTAGTTGGTAGGCTGTGTTTTTTGTCACAAAATCTGGTTACATAAGTAATTATATTACATAACTGAATGCTCAGTTCATGAACAAATGTAGCTTCATTGTGGTGGTTAGGACAAACACTATTCTTGTCTGAATGTCAGCTTGTGTCTCGTTTTGTGGTTAGAAATTATCTTATACTTTTTTAGACAGGCCAATATACTTAGTCTAGTAAACTTTATTTATTGCAAACAGCTGGAAACATTACACTTATTTGTTACGTAGAAACATATACCTCTTGGTAAAACTTTGGGACACTGTCTTGTAGTAGAAGAGCAAGTACTTTGTTGCAGGGTCTCTTTCTGGCCACTCCTCATGAAAATATGCAACAGCTAACAGGTTAGATATAAAGTTTCCCATGTTCTATCCTTATGGATGAAGGTCCCAATACCTGGTTCAATTTGGCATGGGGTCTCACTCACTAGAGACTGTTTATCGATGGCCTGCAAGCTTGAAGCATGTCTTGTGTCTTGTCACAATGATTATAAATCCTTGCTAGCCTTCATCTTGTCCAATACCACCACTGTAAGGTTTTTAAATAAGTAAGATTTTGGGGTAATTCTAGTTCTAAGTAAACATTTTTAAAACCACAAGAAATGTTGTTTAAAATTAACTCAGTTTAATCATTTTATATATTTCTATGCTAATACTATTAAAAAATAGCTGCTTTCTAAAATAATTCACTCAGTTTTACATCAGTGGACAACTAAAAATTGCCTTCATCAGGATTATGTGATGAAGTACAACCAATGTCTGCTCCCAAGGGGAACATTTAGATTTCTTTTCCCACTAGTCGGAATATTTCACCAAAACCAAGTTGAGGGAAATGTTGAAATTTGTGGGATAACAAACCAACTGTTTCCCAGAGGACCAACATAGCAAACAAGCAAACTATGAGTGGTTGTCACACTGCAACATATTTAACTGAAAACACTGAATGTACCTTTGAAGAATCACATTTCTGGAGTCGTTCTGATCTGCTCTGTCAGTTTTTCTTATGATGAAGTACAAAAATGTGTTTTTTTTTTGGCCACAGTCTGCTCCATTGGATTTTCAAGAGCTAGTGCAGAGCTCGGGATAAACTGTCTAGAATCACTGAGAAGTTCAGAGAAGAGAGCTTTTAATATAAATGTCACACCGCAAACACACCTCTGGCTGAATGCCACGTTCTGATCATGTGCAAAACCAGCACAATAATTTATTCAATTTATGTTTCCCACGTGAAATAGACATTTGACAGGATGTCTAAACTTTATCCTGAGTGAGTTACATTTTGATTTATTCAAGGTCATGTGGTTTTCAATCAGCTCATCACCATATTGTGTTTCGTGGCAGTATAACATACTTACTTTTTAACTTGTGAATTGCGCGCACGCGCAAGAGTGAGTTGTAGATATGATGTGGAGAATGGCACTTGCTCGCTCGCTTGCTCGATTGGTCGATTCCTGTAAACTTTTTTTTGATTTAAGGCTTTTGAGTGCATTTGATAATTTTTGGCGAGTAGTAAACAAATGAAATGGTGACCTTTGTTGCTAAGAATAGTGATGGGGTGAAAAAGAAGCCAATGATAATCTTAAAAGAGTTTTTTTTTCGTTTTAGTTTCAACGAGTGGTGCAGGAATTTCAACACGCCTGCCACGCTAGCAGGTGTGCGAGGATTCATACTGAAATAAGAGAACCACCTTCATTTTTCATGAAATTGTAATTTACAATCCTTGAACTTGAAAACAATCTGAAGATTCATTAAAAATATCACTTACTCCAAAGCGCTTGGAGTTTACAGGTGTTCAAAAGCTTTTTCTGTTATGGTGTGAGATTGGGGACAAAATAGATCATTACATTTCATATCGTGTGTTTTTTCTATGTGAAGCAACAGAAGGTGCTGGCGACTGACAAAATTACAGGTTAACATGAAAATCAAATAACACCTAAACAAATAATTTTGGCTACCGATTTTCAGTGAATTTTTAAAGAACAATTTTCTTTTAAGTTTCAAGACAATTTGAAGAGTCAAAATAAATATTACGTACTAAAATGCGAAATTTATTCACCACAAAATTGACAAATAGGCCTGAAATGAAATTCTATCTTGTTCTTGATCATATGTTGCCTAGCATGTGACCAAAATCTACCCAGGCAGAAATCCAAAATGACGGTGGTAGTCTGGGCTTAGTTATATCACTCAAAAATCATTCCCATTTGTCTCATTTGATAAAGAGGGAATCATTAATGTTTTCATTAAGACAGTATTGCCTTAATTTTCCAAAATTTACAATGATAGACACTAAATTTCACTTTTCACCCTCATTTACTTACAACCTTTTCTTTTAAACTGGAAACAAAAATGATATGTGTTTAAAACGCATGACATCATCCACCCTTGTCAAATGTAATAGCATGATCATTTCAAATGTAATGCCTTCTTATCCCAACGTTACTTTGTTTCTTTGCTACATTAGCGAACACTGAACTACTGCTCATACTCTAAATATGACAATCCACCACAAAATTTCCTAAACCAGATAACATTAAACATAATCCAAAAAATCATGTAAGTCATCTGCCAATTCACGAGTTTTCTCACGGAGCAGTTTGATTCTATGTAAAGTAAACCCGATGTCATATTTTGGAAATTAACCATTGAATAATAAAGCTTGCCATTAGATGCTAAGATAAAGATAAAGCAGTTATTAGATTTGTACCAGATATGTTTGCTAAATTTTAAAGATAAGCAATATTGTAAGCATTAACTCCTGTTTTGCATGAACCTACAATAAGTGGCAAATGTAGAGTGCACACTTCCCCCAATGCAGATGGTGGGCAGCTTAACAATTACCAAAATAAACAGAAATCTTTTAATTCATCTGAACAGGTTTCTTGAAAGTCTTCCCCTTTTCCTCAAAGAATGTTACAAGAAATTGTTGACCATTTTGTCAACACCAGGCAATATAGAAAATGCAGTAGGGGGGGGGGGGGGGGGGGGGGGTGTGCCAAGACTTTATCCACCAATAGTCCATTTTACAGTTTTGTGCTTGGTTGCCAAGCCTTTGATTAGGAGTGAGGCTAAGGGTGACCTTGTTATGATACAAACCTTGCTGCTTTTCAAATGTAAATTTGTTATCATGCTAACGAGATACTGGTCTCTGTCACAACAAGGTCAGCTTCAGCCTCACTCCAAATCAAAGGCTTGACGACTAAGTGCACAACTGTAAAATGGCCTATTGTAGGTGTGGCTTGGCTTGCCATTATATTCTTTGATGCTCAGTTGAAGAGCATTGGAGCATGAAATATGAAGTGTTGGGCCTCCATTTCTTTTGGAAGACTCAGGTTTTTTCTTTTCTCATGCTTGTGACACAACAAACAAAATTTTGTTTTTCTATGACAACCAAGCTTGACATTTTTAAAACATCTGTCTTATTCTTATTCTTGTCTGCTTTTTGGCTTTTAATTTTAGGTCAAAGCTGATCTTGGTGGATCTTGCTGGATCAGAGCAAGTTGGGAAATCAGGAAGTGATAGGAAACAACATAGTGAATCAAAATACAGCAATCTTTCTCTGCATCACTTGGAAACTGTAATTATTGCTCTTCAGAGGTTTCGCATGAGGTGTATGAGGAAGAAACAAACTGGAAAATATTTATGCCATAGCTCTAGTGCCATCATGCAGCAAACAAGAGATGCAGCACTGATTCCTAAGCCAGCATTGAGTGCTAAATTGAAGAGTGCAAGTGCATTTGAGTTGGGAAAAGAAAGTGTGTCGTCCCATTCTTCTGACTGTGACCAAACCCATGTGCCCTATGGGAATTCCCTTCTGACCATGATATTACAAGACAGCTTAGGTAAGTAAGTTGTACCACACCGTGAAAAGCTGCGTAGTAAATAAAAATCTTTGAAACTCATGAAGCCTAAAACTGTCAGAGGTTTACTGAGTTTTTGCAGCATGGTATCAGTAGTAGAGTTACTTTGCTTGGATGGTATCAATTGCAGGTTACCCCAACATTTTTGATAGTTTCTCTTGCATTTGACTGGAAATCACACCGTGAATTTGAAATCTTGAAGCATTTGCAAGATAAGATTTCTTCCTCAAAAATTTAACAAGGTGAACCTGGACCTTGATCTTTGAGCCATGCAGCACAGTTCCAGAAGCCACTGTATGTATGTGCATGTTTGAAATAAAAATTGACCCCCAGGAATCTGAAAAATCTAAATCTCTTTACCACTCTGTTTTACATGGTTAGATTCAATTGTTCTGTTTCGATTGTTTTTCAATATTTCATACAGGAGGAAACTGTAACACAGCTATGATTACAGCATTGTCCCTTGATGAGGAGAACCTGCCAGAGACCATTGCCACGTGCAGGGTTGCTCAAAGAGTTGCACGGATTCTCAACAAGCCAGTGTGAGTATGAATGTTAAATAACAATTTGTTGGTATTTAAGATGTAAAAGTCAACATTTTACAACAGGTGAGAGGATACTGAAACATTTCCGTAATGGTGAAACCCCATCTCAGCTCAGGGGAAAAACTCAGAGCTAGAAGAAATATTCCCCAAACAGGTTTTCCTTCAATAAAAATAACACATCCCTTCTGTGATGGTACCACATACAGTAGGCCCTTGAATAAAGAGACAACTACAGGACTAGGAAAAGTGTTCCTACATTAGAGGAGTCCCTTCTGTGATGGTAACACATACAGTAGACCCTTGATTAAAGAGACACCCACAGGACTGGGAAAAGTGATCCCTGATTACCTTCTGTGATGGTAACACATACTTTAGTCCCTGAATTGAAGAGACACCTACAGGACTAGGAAAAGTGATCCCTTATAAAAGTAGTCCCCTCTGTGGTGGTAACACATCCGTAGTTCCTTAATTAAAGAGACACCCACAGGGCTAGGAAAAGTGTTCCTTTATTAGAGGAGTCCCTTCTGTGATGGTAACACATACAGTAGACCCTTGATTAAAGAGACACCCACAGGACTAGGAAAAGTGATCCCTGATTAAAGGAGTCCCTTCTGTGATGGTAACACATACTGTAGTCCCTTAATTAATGAGACACCCACAGGACTAGGAAAAGTGATCCCTTATAAGAGGAGTCCCCTCTGTGGTGGTAACACATACTGTAGTCCCTTAATTAAAGAGACACCCACAGGACTAGGAAAAGTGTTCCTTTATTGGAGGAGTCTCTTCTGTGATGGTAAAACATACTTTAGTCCCTTAATTAAAGAGACACCCACAGGACTAGGAAAAGTGTTCCCTGATTGGAGGAGTCCCTTCTGTGGTGGTAATGCATGCAGTAGGCCCTTCATTCAAGGAGTACCTGGATGACCAAAGAAGTGTCCCCTGATGCTGATGTTTCAAATTGAAAAATACTATTTTAAATATTTCTATTGACCCATTAACTTCCAGAAGTGATTAACATGTAACTTCTCCTTATAATATCCACTCGTTATCCAGTAAATAGGTAACGGGAATACTCAAGTCTATTAAGCAGAGGTTGTTATTTTCATCTTGCACTAAATTCTTATGGCTAATTTACAGGGAAATTTTTAGCAGTTAGAGGGGTGAATAAACAATCTGAACTTGGGAGTTAAAGGGTTAAGTCTCTATGACACTCGTATAATTTCAAGGGGTGGAGGTTTGATAGCAGCACTTTAACGAGACCTTCTGCTGTACTGGGGTGCTAGGTTCTATCTTCTAGGTTAACCAGAGTGATCAAAATGGATTTTTCTCCTCACAGAATCAATACATCCATCATTACAATGCGTCATACACATTTTCAGTCAGGGAATATGGTCTGACTTAGCACCAAATTCTTAGAGATGAAACGATGCGTAAATTATAGCAGACATTACAGAAAATTGATAATAATGTATTAAGAACTGAAATTGTGAAATCATTGTTTATCTGTGTATGGAAGGAGCATCTCGTACTTTTTCACTTTCAGACGCAACGAAGAGATTGACAAAAATATGGTTATAAGACGGCTTCAAAAAACTTTGGCAAAACTACACTTAGAACTAGCACATTACAAGGTAGGGTATTTGTTATTTCCTGGGGTTTATGGAGTGATGCTATCTTGAATACTGGTATATACCGTATGGGTGAAGAGGTGAGGGCTCGACTTTGGAATTACCTAATATTAACCTTAGATTTTCTTTTATTTATTAAGTAAGTTATGAAGCAGTTTGCCCTCTCAAGTGCGTCTTTCAAGGAATTTAAATGACTTCAAAAGTAAATTGCCAGATTGTAGCTTTTGAGGACGTGTCTTATAGTTTTCTTGTCATTTTTTAGTTTATGATTTAGCTTTCTATATTCATTGTTGGTTTTTACATATTTATTGTGTTGTTTTTAGATGGCATGATATTATATGTTAGCTGTAATTACTAAAGATTTTATTTATACTCGTTCGTATTTTGAATGAGTTCTTAGCTACTTGACGAAACGTGTTTAAATAAATGATTGATTAATTGATGGATTGACGCTTAAATTGTGCGCATAACGGCTCACATTACCGGACCTTATCCTGGTTTCACTGAGTGAAATAGAATAAAGAGATTAGAAGTATTTTTCTCAGCATGGGTTTGCACTCAAACCCTGTACACCCTAACATCAGAATTTACATCTCCCTACTGTTCTCTATACATTTCTTTAGGAGCTGGCAAAGAGAATTTGTTAAAAAAATCAAGAGCTTCTTAGTTGTTGATTATTTCTTTTACTCTCGTGATCTTAATGTGTGACTCAGGGGTGATATTTTAGGG